TCGGATGGAGAGGCCTACTCCGATCTTCTTGGCTGCTAAGTTCCACAGGGGACTTAATGAGGATATTGCTGGTTACCTCGATGGTTCTGCTTCGAGAGACTTCGGGACACTGGTGCAGCAGTGTCGGGACATCGAGGACTTCTGCAACTCGAGTAAGGCCAAGAGGGCCAAGATTGCTGAGACGAAGGGAACTAGTAGTTCCACTTCCTGGAGGGACATTAAGTTTGGGAGCAAAGGCAAGGGAAATCAGATGGCGACTCGGCAAGCGCCAAATCAGTTTAAGAGGACTTCTACTCAGGGGAGTACAGCGAGACCTCCCGCTCCCAGATGCTCGGGGTGTGGGAAAACTCATTTTGGGCCGTGTTCTTCAGGCCAGTTGATATGCTTTCAGTGTGGCAAGGAGGGTCATTCTCTAGAGATTGTCCGTCATCGACGGCGAGAGCTGCAGCAGTTCGAGCAGTTCCATTACAGATGGTTCCCCTTCCACCTGCAGCGGCACCTGTTGTGCCACCTGCCACGGAGCGAGTTTACACTTTGGATCGGCAGCAGTCAGACCGAGCTCCGAACCTTGTCAGAGGTACTGTTTCTATTGGTGGATCTTCGGTTGATGTATTGTTTGACTCCAGGGCTACGCATTCCTTCATTGCTACCCCGATTGCTGTGGGGCTTGAGGTACCTATGTCTGTGCTTTCTCCACCGTTGCGGGTGACCACCGCCACCAGAGAAATGTGTGATTCTACCACTGTTCATCGCGATGTAGCGTTTCAGTGGGATGGCTGTGAGTTCTCGGTAAAGAGTGACAAAAAGCGGAATCCGTATAATGCTTTGACCTCGGCCAGGTCAATATATCGGAACTCATAAAATGCACGAGTTGCGAAAATAAGAATTTATTCGAGTTGTAAAAATAACCCGTCTCGGATAAGGAACAACTCGAGTAAGGTTTGATATTCTTAGAAAATTGACTAAGTTACAAACCTAGATAACAAGGATACAAGCTTGTTATCACAATCAAGAGAATGCTAAGTCCTTCGAAGTATTTAACAAATACTTCAGGCATCTGGAATCTGATAAACCTCAAATACTTAGAAAAGTATCTGGAATCTGATAAACCTCAAATACTTAGAAAAGTATGTCTAAGTTATCAGGGAGGCATAAAACTCAAGATACGAGTATAAAGGCAAAATCATTCAAAGGCATGAAAAGCCTAAGAACTGGATAAGAGGCATCCCGACCATGAATTCAGCGGAAGTCTCACCCTGTTCCATCTGAACGTCATGACATTGCAAGACGGACTCAAAAAGGTGAATGATTCTGATTAAGTTAAAATCTGTGAAAGACACGGTATGCACAACCTGGTTGAAATAGAAGATGATATCACAACGAGATTCTGACAAAGCCGAGCTCAAATAAATAAAGCTACAATATATAAAACTGGGCTAATTATAGCAAGGAAAAATTCAACTCTGCAAACGAAACATGCAAAGAATCGGGAGCAAAGCCCGAAAATATCAATTAAAAAGAGGCTCAAAGATCCCCAAATCAGAAAAAAGAAATTTCAAAGGCAAAGTCGGTATTCCGACATACACAGTTTGGATTAAAGTAATACAGCCCAACAACCCAGATTTTCTAACTTCCGGATTGGGGGGCAAGTGCAGGAATGCATCCAAAATTAAAAGAGAAAAACAGCAATCTTCATACTTCAAGATCTCGTTAAGACAATTAAAACGACTAGTCAACTAGTCCGAGCTACGTACCTCGGCCAAAAACTTTGAGGGAGAAATGTTGAAATAGCATACACGGTATTCAGCTCATGAAGCCCGGCACCGAAGAAAGAACGAAATAAGAAAAAATAAATCCGAAATACAAATCGACAAGAATCCATGGATTTAGAACATGGATCAATGAATCAATAAAACTTCGGGAAAAAGGTCAAAGGGAAAAACTTTCCTACTTCCAATAGATCCCTTGGCCACGGAAGTTTGACCAATAAGATTATGGTTCAACAGACTTTGCTTTGGACACCCAAACTACCGGGTAGGAAAACAAAGGAGGATGTCTGAAGTAAGAATCAACATGACAAGATAGTTAAAGCCATACACCACAAAATAAAGGCTAAAACAAAGCTCATACCATGAACATGGCCGACTTCTAGGCACTGAGAATAAAATATTCACAAAATTTGATCAAGAGCAATGCACAACAACCCAACTATACTTATCAGATATGCACCCCGGACACCAGACTACCGAATTTGGAGAGATGTGGTCCTGGAAAAAGGATCACACCCCAATCCGGGACAAAGTGAAGACGGATTTTGAGAGATGAGATCTGGGAAAAAAAGGATCGCACTCCAATGGATTAAATGAAGACGGTTTTGGAGAGATGAGATCCTGGAAAAATGATCACACCCCAATCCGGGATAAAATGAAGACGGGTTTGGAGAGATGTGGTCCTGGAAAAAAGGATCACACCCCAATTCGTGATTATTGACAAGAAAGTTGGTAAGGAGAACGGAAAACTCACATCCGGGATCCAAGAAATGGACACCTGGACACAACAATGTTAAGCCGAGTTACAAGGATGATGCGCTTGGGGGCAACTCGCCAGTTGGATCCCAACCACTCAAGCTCATTCATCACCCGGTTATATGGAATGTACGCAGTATCTTGTCGGGTTCATGCTCAACCCGCCGAGATAAGGGGCAATGAAGTACCATTCCCTGTTCCAAAAATTCAAAGCCTAGAATGCATGGGAAAGTTAAAATAAGCCAAAGTCAAAAAATGACACTTTGGAAAGAAGCCGAGTTAAATATTATAAAGCCAAGGTATTGGAAACCTACGACTAGCAACGTGCAAAAACCTGGATAGAAAACGGGTTAAAAATATAAAGCACACTGCAGGACTGTGGCTTCTAGCTGAGGCATAAGAAAACGGAAGGACACTTCTGAATCCTAAATGTTGTCAAAATAAACAACATGTGTACAAGCTGTGACAAATGAAATCAGGCTTGAAAAATAAGTGGCAGATTGGTACAACCTTAATCAAGTCACCATGATGCCTCAAATTTGAAAACCTAAATTGGGTTAAAAGCAAAAAGCGGAATCTGCATGAAAGACCATGATGGCTAGGTCATTTTGTTCAGTTAATGCTGAAAAGATAAATCTGAATAAATAATGCTACAATTCAAGAAGTTGGGCTCAAAGCGAAATCCTCGGAAGGAGAAGCCGAGCTCGATGTTGAAAGGAGGCAAACATTGCTTCACCAAACTACCACCTCAGCCAAAAAAGGTTGAGGGAGAAATACGAAAATAACATATTCAATACTCGATTCGCCAAAACCGGCTGAATAAATGACAGAGATAATAACTACAATCGCTAACCCAATTAAGTTGGCCAAGGAAAGTTCCAACCCAAAGAAAATTGCTTAAATGAAGATGCCAAGTCAAAGCAAGAATTCGACTACTAACCTGAAAATCAAATGCAGAGATTACTGTTATTACATGCAAGTATATGTCAACTCTTATCCGGGTTATGCGAATGATGCTTGGGGGCAACTCGCCAGTTGGATCCCAACTACTCAAGCACATTCGTTACCCAATTACACATGCAGAATATCTTGCTGGGTTCATGCATAACCCGTTCACATAATTGACAAGGGAAAATCATTCCCGGATTCCAGAAGAAAGCTACAAGCTCAGGACGTGTGCGTATGGAATGATGCTTGGGGGCAACTCGGCAGTTGGATCCCAACCACTCAAATTCATCCCAAACTCGATATAGGAACACGTGAAATATTTTCCATGGTTTATGATCAACCCGCCGAGATAAGGGGCAATGAGGACCCCAGTTTAAAAGCCTGAGATGTAAGGAACATATATGCAAAAAGTTTACAAAACCTCAAACGCTCTCAGCTTAGCAGAAAACCTGAAGCAAAAGGCAAGACAATTCACCCCGGCAGCCTGGACAACCAAACTACCGGGCTGGGAGGCAACTGTTATGGACCTGACAAAGACCTACATTCTAGAAGGCCCAAATAAGGCTAACAGCTAAGAGGGAATTAAGGAAATATTCCTTAATTATATTAATCCTACTACGGCAGCAATTGATCAACAATTGGACCCCCAATACTCCTAAGAGGCTCAAAAGTCCACTTCTGCCAGGTAACCCATCTATAAATAAGGGGTTAAACCAATAAGGTAAACACACTCTAAACCCTGTCTCTTAGCTTGTCACTGTGCACACACCCCATGCTTGACTATGTCGTTATACTATAGTGCACAGTGATCCACTTATCTTTAGGGTTCCTCTCCTATAGGTACCTGAGGGAGGATAAACAAATCCTATATTAACATACCAATCTCTGATTGGACATATCGATTTATCATATCGTAACACATACAAAGATAAATTAATGGTAATAAAGGAAGAGAGAGAAAAATATATTATAATAGGTAGTTACAAAATCATAACCATTAATTATTTACTTTTTTATAATTGTGATTTTTCTACATAATCATGTCATTTTTTTTTTCATATGTGAAGATCCATTTCCCTGATTAATTAGTTATTGATAGTGTTGTGTAAAATCACACAAAACAAGCTGTTCATATTGAAAATTTCCCTGTTTTCAAATCTGTATCATATTTTAGTGAGTAAATACTCATTTTGGTCCCTAACAAAAAAACACAGTTCCCACTTTAGTTCTTACAAAAATAAATTAGTCTGAGGTCCCTAACAAATTTAAAGTGGATCCATTTAGTTGAAATCGTGGTCTCTCACAAATTCAAAAAAGACCCACATTAGTCCCTCAAAAGGACTAAAATGGGTCTACTTTGAATTTCGTAGGGACCAACCGACTAATTTTTTTTGTAAGGAACTAAAACGGAGATCGTATTTTTTTGTTAAGGATAAAAAGAGTATTTACTCTATTTTAGTTGTGTCGATCCGGCAGCTAACATAAGAGAAGGGAGGGAAATGAAAATCAAGAAATGTAAATTAAAAAAAAAAAAAAAAAAAACCAAGAAATGATTTTGGGTTCTTGGTTCACGTTCGATTTCTGGTAACTGCAGGCCCAATACTGTTCCTCAACCGTCACGGCTCTCCTCTGCGTCGGTGATTGGTAGGTGATTGGCAAGGAAGAAAATGGTGGCATCTTAATTTTCCCTGCCATAACCAAAGCCCTAGACTCATCTTTCTGAGCTCCTAAAACAAGCTAACACACACTCCCGAAAAGGAAATGGGTGAAACTAAGAGAAGGCGTGGCCGAAAACCCAAAACCGCAACTGATGAAGAAACCGTGCCCCAAGACTGCACCACTATCAACGCCACCGCGGCCTCCAAAAACGACGTCGTTTCAGTCCCTACCACCTCCGAAGCTGCTAATACCAGCGATCCGGATTCCGCAGGGCACTGTCGCAACCGACCCAAGAAGATGAAGCTTAAGGCGGCATCACCGGAGCGCCGGAGCTCTCGGCTCGCCAAGTTGAACGGCGATTGCGCTCCGACGAGCTTGGCGATGGAGGCCAAGTGGAAGAGCGTGGTGAAGGTTGTGCCGTCCATGGACGCCGTTGTGAAGGTTTTCTGCGTGCACACAGAGCCGAATTTCTCGCTGCCATGGCAGAGGAAGAGACAGTACAGCTCCAGCAGCAGTGGGTTTGTCATCGCGGGACGGAGGGTGCTTACAAATGCGCATTCCGTGGAGCATCACACCCAGGTCAAGCTCAAGAAACGTGGTTCTGATACGAAATACTTGGCAACAGTGCTGGCTATTGGGACCGAGTGCGACATTGGTATTTGATTTTTGTTTTCTCCTATCTGATGAATTTTCACTTGGTAAAACCTAATAATGTTTTTGGATATGTGATTATTTTATTGATTATGTTTTCGACGAAGGATGGAACCTATATGACATGCTTAAAATAATTCAAATAAGCCAAATGTATCTTAATCATATGGTAGATTACATTTTGTTCTATTGTTCTTCATTTCATGGCTTGTGTCTGTTATAAGTTACAACAACATGCAAGGGTGTTGATTTTGGCACTTTGAGGTTTGAACCGGTGAGGACACCCCGCCATCTTGCAGCCAAAAGGCTGGAGTCTTCATAATCCCTCAGTTTGTTAATTTTTATGAGATTCCTTTAAGATCAAGGCCAGAAGCCATTCTATAATATATATATATATCTTCATAATCCCTCAGTTTGTTAATTTTTATGAGATTCCTTTAAGATCAAGGCCAGAAGCCATTCTATAATATATATATATATATATATATATATATATATATATATATATATATACACATACAGAGGTAGGATCCTTTGACACCGGTGTCAAATTTGAATTTTGACACCTCATCTGAGAGCCATTAGATCAAAAAAGATCAACGACTCTGATTTGTAAGCATGTGACACTATTGATCTTTTTTGATCTAATGGCTCCTAGATGAGATGTCAAAATTCAAACTTGACACTGGTGTCAAAGGATCCTACCTCATATATATATATATATATATATATATATATATATAAGTATGGGATCCTTTGAACGCCTACTGAAGTAAGTAACGAATGGGAATATGGAAATGATACTAATGATCATTCCTTTTTTTTAGATTTTAGATAGTTATATCAGGGACAGGAAAGATATTGAGATATGCATACTCAATGGAATGGGATGTAAAAGAAGAGCTTTTATATCATATTACCATTTTAACATTATTTTTTTTTAACTTTCTTTACTTTTAATCGTATCAGTGACTAAAATCTGATAAAAAAAGGTCTTATACAATTTCATTTAAAACCTTGCCATTCTGTTTCCTTTCTTTACACTTTTGGAAGGAACAAGAAGTTAATAAAAAAAGAAAAAAGAAATACGTTCCTTGGGAATACTGCCCACTCTTAGCTTTCTTCTTTCTTTTATTGCGATGCACCTGCCGCCCAGTCGAGATTTGGATGGTTTCTTCTAATATTTTTCAGTCCATCCCGTTTCTGTTTTTATATTTTTTCCCTTAATATTCATATCAGATATTGATTTAAACATAAATTTGATTATTTATTTTGTCATGCCTTTTTTTTTCTTTTGATGATGCTTCAGCGTTGTTGACGGTGAGTGATGATGAATTCTGGGAGGGAGTTTCACCTGTAGAGTTTGGCGATTTGCCTGCACTGCAAGATGCTGTAACTGTGGTTGGCTATCCAATTGGAGGTGACACAATCTCTGTGACAAGTGGTGTTGTTTCACGTATGGAGATACTCTCTTATGTTCATGGTTCAACTGAACTCCTGGGACTGCAGGTGATGGAAATTCTAAGTTGTCCTTCTTCCTCTTAACCTTTTACCCCGAGTTATCCATTTATATATGATAAATTAAAATTTGCTGTTGTCTATTCAAATTCCTCCACAGATAGATGCTGCAATAAATTCTGGGAATTCTGGTGGACCTGCTTTTAATGATAAGGGAAAATGTGTTGGGATTGCATTCCAGTCTCTGAAAAATGAAGATGTGGAGAATATAGGATATGTAATACCCACCCCTGTTATTCTGCATTTTATCCAAGATTATGAAAATAATGGAGCATATACAGGTATCTAAGGGGGATGTTTTACTTCTTTGTCCATATCATTGCCCCCTCCTTTCTTAGGGGAAAAAAGAAGGAGAAAGAGATAAAATAATAAATAGATGGAAAACAGTAAAATAAAGAGATTAAGTGCGTGTTTGTATTAGCTAATTTTGGGGAAATAACACATTTTTTTGCAGCTTTCTAAAAGAGCTTTCGAAAAAAAAAAAAACCGTTCCCATAATTTAAGCATTGCAAAATACATGCTAAGTGGAGAACTTCATTGACAATTTGTGCTGGACTGTTATGTTTTGTTTATTACATTGTTCATAGTGTACCTTCCTTCCCCTGTCTGGCTTTTACAATTTTGTTCTTAGTTTACTTTGTCTTTCCTACAATGATTTTAAGTAAATTTGTCTTTAATTTCTTGCCTGTCAGGATTTCCAATTCTTGGAGTTGAGTGGCAGAAGATGGAAAATCCTGATCTGAGAATGTCAATGGGGATGGGACCAGATCAGAAAGGTGTGCGTATCAGAAGAATTGAACCCACTGCTCCAGAATCTTACATTCTGAAGCCAGCTGATGTCATTCTTAGCTTTGACGGGGTCAACATTGCCAATGATGGAACAGGTAATATACCATGTTTTTACTTGGAAACTATCCCGTTAAGATGATATATGCATGCGGTTTTTGCTTTGTCCTGTATTTTTTTGACTAATAGCTGACTTTAAAATTAGGTTTTCTAACAAATGACTACCTTTTCAAGATTTAGTGTGGGTATTGTAGAGGAGAGATTTCTGAATTGCTTGATTAAGAGTACTTAGCATCCTTGATATTTATATAGATAAAAGAATAAATGCATTTTATATTTACAAGAATAGTAAAGGATTAAACTTTTTCCTATGATCCTAATCTTTCCAATAAACTTCCACAATTCTAAATGATATATTAATCACTATCACTATTTCCATCACTTTCCCCTGAAGCTGGAGCATATAAGTGATATGCACCAACTTTTTCACCATTTCTGAATTGATGGAGCATGAAAGAGAACAAGTTAATTGGCCAACAAATGTAAAATGAAAAGGACAATCAGGAACATAAAGAACAGATGTCAAGGGTAGAGAAGGATATGAACGGGCTTGTCCAAAACTATAACTAAGAACAAGGGGTAACATGTGATGAATGCCGCTGATCTGTATGATTTTCTTTCCCTTGGGCATCAAATGTCAGCCTTAGTCTTAACATTTATTATCAGGTTTGGGACATTTGTGACCCTGAATTTGACACAATAAGAGTATTTGAAAAGGTTACTCTGATTTCTCTTATCTTGGAATTTTATTGTCTAGGTGGAAACCTGATAGTGTTTTGTCTGCATTCAATGCATATCATCATGATTTGTTGATGCTTGGCTTAACATAAACTGTCTTTATTGCTATCTACTAGGACCATTTTTTTATGAATGTTAGTAGATTTTATTATTGTGTTTTGTTTAATTATACTCATTCAATGGTAAATTTTTTGAAATTTTGTTTGTATTGCTTTCTTGGTTTTAGAGCTAACATCTATTTCTGGAATATATTTATAGTTCCATTCAGGCATGGGGAGCGCATTGGTTTCAGTTACCTTGTCTCTCAGAAATACACTGGGGATATAGCTGTTGTAAAGGTTCTCCGTAATTCCAAGATACTTGAATTTAAGATAAAACTTTCGACTCATAAGCGGCTTATTCCAGCACACATCAAAGGCAGGCCTCCTTCTTACTACATTATTGCTGGATTTGTTTTTACTGCTGTTTCTGTCCCCTATCTTCGTTCTGAGGTGAGTAGAAATCTTTCACACATATTGTTACACTTCTGCTGTGATCCTTACCCTTCCAATTTGTCTGCCCCCATCTCTTCTCTTTTTGATTCATTCATCTTCTCCTTTATGGGGTACTGTAGGCAAACAACTCCTTACACAAAAATCTTGATGTGCTGTGCCATTTCATCTGACTTGCTTTGATTCTATGATTCAGATCCTCATCAATCTATCCCTCCCTTTTGCAATATTGATCCCAAATATCTAAAAGCATAACATAAATAAGAAAAATAAGTTTTAAATCACTACTAAAATTTAATTATGCTTTAATGGAGGTCACAAACTCACAATCTCATAAACAAAATACATAAAACTAAAAAAAAACCATAAAACTAAAACACCAAAATAAAATATTATAACTCTAATCTAGCAAATCATTTAAGCCACTATTTATATATAATAAAATATATACACTACAAATAACATATATTGTAAATTAGATTTTGTTTTCTACAAAACTTAAAAAAAAAAAACATAAAACTATTATAACTCTAGCTAATCATTTAAGCCACTATATAGATATAATAGAATATATACACTACAAATAACATATATTGTAAATTAGATTTTGTTTTTTCTACACTATTTGAGGATTCGTTCATTGTATCTTATTGCTTTTAGTTTTTTTCACTTTTTCTGCTTTGGGCCTACCCAATTGAGTCATATTGTCCTATAGACACTGGGTACTTTTGGAGGAAGATGTTTCTTATGCAAGAGCAGCAACATGGTGATAAAGACCCTCCTAAACTAACGGTTTATCATAGGAAGTGCCGTAGGGGATTATTTGGTGCCATTCTGTTATATGGGGGAGCTGAGTTAGCAGATGAAGTTGTGCATGTGGTTGGAGGAGAGAGAATGTTATACGACGGAGTGCATGTTTAAAGGAGGAAAAATACACGAAGTCTGGATTTTTGGAAATTAGGACTTTGGGCACCTTCTTGGTGAATGGGAGAGACCAGGAGCTCTATAATTCCCCTGGACTATCTTTAATATTCTGTCATTCAATTTCTTTGTAATTTTTGTCATGCTGTTTCAATTCAAGTCATTACAGTTTATTGTTCACAGAGATACGATTTATAGGAATTTGTTGTTGAATTAATATAATTGCTGAAGTATTTCTTAATTGATTGCTGTGTGAGATTAGTTGTTTGTTACAAATTGGTATCAAAGCTTCCCCTGGGAGCATTATATGATATTGACGAGAAAAATGGAAGCACGTTTTGAATCAGTAGAAGAAAGGATTAATAGATCGGAAGAAGGAATCCGTCGATTAGAGTCAGGACAGGCTGATATACTCCGACTATTACAAAATCTGAGCTTGGAGAGGGGTAATCGCCGTTCGGGAGAAAATGACGAGACAGGAAGCAATGGTAATGATGCACACAGAGACCTTAGAAATGATAATCAAGAGAAGAAGCTAGAGATGCTGATTTTCTCAGGAGAAGAGGTGCAGGGTTGGTTAGCTCGTGTAGAACGATACTTCGAGGTAAATCAGATGAGGGAGCGTGTGAAATTACCTGCTGTGATGATCGTTTTAGAGGGAGAAGCTCTCCACTGGTGTACCAACGTTGGGAACGAACGACTCGAAATGCAACTTGGGAAGGATTTTGCAACGAGGTAGTGGGGTGTTTCCAACCAGAATTGGTCGGAGATCCGTTCCATGAGCTCTTTCGATTGAAACAATCAGGATCCATATTGGAATATCGACGAGACTTTGAGAAGATCAGTAGCAACTTGAGGCAGCTTGATGAAACTTTTCTTCGTGGATTATGGTTGAACGGTGTGGTAGATTCAATCAGGGAGGAATTGCTGATGTCTCCAGAAGATTCATTGGAGACGATGATGATGAAGGCTCAGAGGATTGAGAGCAGAAATTGGGCCTTGACCCATGAAGTTACTAAAGGTGATGGGCTAAACCGTAGGCCCAACTATAATCCAACATCACGTTCATTTACCCAAAACCATTCGGGTACCTTAGCGGGTCAAAATTACCCGAAGAGCGGAAATATGTTCACAAACCCATCTAGGGCAACAGAAGGAGGAATGGCTCCTTTGCAAAGTCGTACCAATGGAACACAAAGAGCTGAGCGAGAGGAATCTCAGGGGAGTAATAATCGGACCCAAAGTAGACGACTGCCACAAGAAGAGTTACAGTATCGATCTAAGAAGGGGTTATGTTTTCATTGTGAAGAACGATGGTACCCAGGGCATCGTTGCCGTTCGCGCCAGCTACAATTGTTGATCGTAGATGACGGAGCAGAGGAAGATGAACTCGTGAGGCAAGGGGATATGGTAGGTGGCGGGGAAGAGTTTCCGGAGGTATCGCCACTGCAACTATCGACTCAGAGCCTTCTGGGGTTATCTTCAAGCAAGACGATGAGCATGTGGGGCGAGATCAACGGGAAACAGGTAATTATACTAATCAACTGTGGTGCTTCTCATAATTTTATTAAATGCACTCTTGTTGAAGAGCTGGGGTTGGAAGTAGAGGCGACACCCAAATATCAGGTGGAAGTTGGGAATGGTGAGGTGCTGGAGTGTCAGGGGGTCTGCAAACAGGTCAAGGTACTCTTACAGGGTAACGAAGTTCAAGAAGATTTCTTCCTCTTTTCCTTAGGGGGAGCTGATGTTGTTTTGGGGTTGGATTGGCTGCAAGGGTTGGGAAATATTAAAGCTAATTTCAGAGATTTAACCTTGAGCTTCCAGAAAAAATGAAAAGGAAGTCATAATCAAGGCAGAACCTTCTTTATCCAAGGCGGTAGCTTCATTGAAGTCCTTGGTGAAGGCACTAGCAGATGAGGGACAAGGGTACTGGATTTCGCAGCAACCTGGAGATGTGACCATGTCAGAGCAGAATAACTAATGGGAGGAAATAGAGGAATTGTTAAAAGAATTTGAAGAAGTCTTTCAGAAGCCTAAGGAGTTACCACCCGAGCGAAGACAAGATCACGCAATTATTCTGAAGTCTGATAATGAAATTCCCAATATACGACCTTATAGATATCCATATTATCAGAAGACGGAGATTGAAAAGGCAGTACAGGAGCTTATGGAGTCCGGATTTATAAGGCCAAGTGTGAGTCCGTTCTCTAGCCCAGCTATTTTGGTAAAGAAAAAAGATGGAAGTTGGCGAATGTGTGTGGATTATAGGGCTCTTAATAAGATGACAGTACCAGATAAATTCCCTATCCGAGTGATTGATGAGTTATTAGACAAGTTAGGGGTCTCTCAGATTTTTTCAAAGCTTGAGTTGAAGTCCGGATTCAACCAGATTCGTATGCAGCCTGAAGACATTGCCAAAACTGTGTTCCGTACCCACGAGGGACATTACGAGTATTTGGTTATGCCATTCGGGCTCACTAACGCCCCATCCTCATTTCAAGCACTGATGAACGAAGTATTGAAACCTTTCTTGAGAAGGTTTGTGTTGGTATTTTTTGATGATATACTCATCTACAGCAGGAACTGAGTTGATCATTTGGCACGTATGAGGGCAGTCCTAACAACATTGCGTAGTCACAAATTATTTGCCAATAAAAAGAAGTGTTCCTTTGGCAGTGAACAAATAGGGTATCTCGGTCATGTGATTACCAAGGATGGAGTGATGGCAGATCCTTCTAAAATTACAGCAATGAAGGAGTGGCCAGTCCCTAAAAACATCAAGGCCTTAAGAGGTTTTTTGGGACTTCCAGGCTATTATAGGAAATTTGTGGAAGGGTATGGTAAAATTGCCAAACCTCTTACGGACTTACTCAAGAAGGATGCCTTCCAATGGAATAATGAGGTGCAGACTGCTTTTGAAGAGTTGAAACAGAAAATGTGTGAGTTACCTACTTTGGCCTTGCCTAACTTTGTGAAGCCCTTTGTGGTAGTCACTGATGCCTCGGGAAAGGGAGTTGGAGCAGTGTTGATGCAAGATGGTCGTCCGTTAGCATTTGTGAGTCAGGCTTTTTCGACTAGAGCCCAAGGGAAGTCAGTCTACGAAAAGGAACTCATGGCGATTGTGTTTGCTATTCAAAAATGGCGTCCATACTTATTGGGGCGTCATTTCATAGTAAAAACAGATCAACGTAGTTTAAAGTACTTGTTGGAACAGCGAGGACTAGGGGAGGAACAACAGAGATGGGTTTCGAAGTTGTTGGGGTACGATTTTGAAGTACAATATCAACCGGGCCGAGCTAATGTGGTTGCCGACGCTCAATCACGGCAGATGCAGTTTACTGCACTAACCACAGTATCGTTGCCATTGTTGGAGCAGCTGGAAAATGAGCAGTATCAAGATTCTGGCTTGAAGAAAATCATTCAAGATTTATTAATGGGAAGCTCTGACTATCCGGATTACAAGCTGCGGGATGGAAAATTGCTATATAAAGGAAGTTTAATCCTTCCTTCCGATTCAGTGTTAATTCCTCTGTTACTTAAAGAATTCCACGAGTCACCGTCCGGTGGGCATTCTGGTTTCTTTCGTACTTACAAGAGGCTTGTGCAGTTGGTGTTTTACAGAGAATGAAACACGCAATTAAGGAGTACGTTGCTGGATGTCATATCTGCCAACAAAATAAATCCTCTGCTTTATCCCCAGCCGGTTTGCTCCAACCGCTGCCCATCCCATCTCAGGTTTGGTCTGATATTTCAATGGATTTTATAGGTGGTTTACCTAAAGCAGGAGGATTTGATACAATTTTTGTGGTGGTTGATAGATTATCTAAGTATGCCCATTTTATACCGCTATGTCATCCTTATTCTGCACCTGAAGTTGCTGATTTATTTGTGAGAAATGTGGTCAAATTACATGGATTTCCTCAATCTATTGTTTCTGATCCGATAGAGTATTTCTAAAGTCACTTTTGGGCTGCTCTACTTCGCCAGGCTGGTACCTATCTTAAATTCAGTACAACTTACAATCCTCAATCGAATGGTTAAACGGAGATTGTCAACAAAAGTGTAGAGACATTTCTACGTTGTTTTTGCAGCCCCAAACCGAAGCAATGGCACACATGGTTGCACTGGGCAGAATTTTGGTACAATACTACCTATAAAGAATCATCAGGTATGACTCCTTTTAAAATTTATATGGCTGTGACCCCCTACATTGTTGCGGGCTGATGGGATGTCGAGAGTAGCATAGGTAGATAAACCATTGCAGGAGCGTGATTTAGTATTGACTGAACTCAGAGACCAGTTGGAAAAGGCACAAAATCGCATGAAACAACAAGCAGACAAGCATAGAAGGGATATTCACTTTGAGGTAGGAGATGCTGTGTATCTGAAAATGCAACCATATCGGTTAAAATCCTTGGCTAGGAGGATGAATGAAAAATTGAGCCCGCGTTATTATGGTCCCTATCCTATCATTGAACGGGTTGGGGCAGCTGCTTATCGATTGAAATTGCCAGATTACTGTACAATTCACCCGGTGTTTCATGTCTCATTGTTGAAGAAATCTGTTTCTGCTCCTTTTCAACCTCAACCAATCCCTTCTGTATTGCAGGAAAATTGGGAGTTGCAGGTTACTCCAGTAGCCGTTTTGCAATGGCGTCGATCTCTGCATCACACTACTGAGGTGCTTATTAAATGGTCCAACTTACCGGAATTCGAAAGTGTTGAGATGTATAGTTCCACATTGGTTGAATGTGCAACTAATGTGGAGTTTATAAGGCCTTGAGCACTCCCACCCTTTGAGCTAGCTTTTGGGGTGGTGTATTCCAAGGTTCTTTACATAGTATCAGAGCCTCGTGTTCCGGGTTAGAGCCTCGTGTTCCGGGTTCAAACCTCGCCGTCCCCGCTTTCTCTTGTGGAATTTCTTAGCACAGGTAGGCTGGACCTGTTGCATCATCCACTCTTTAAGCCCAATGGGCTCTTGTGTGAGGGGGCGTGTTGAGATGTATAGTTCCACATTGGTTGAATGTGCAACTAATGTGGAGTTTATAAGGCCTTGAGCACTCCCACCCTTTGAGCTAGCTTTTGGGGTGGTGTATTCCAAGGTTCTTTACAGAAAGTACTTGGGAGGAATCCTTTATGATCAATCAACTATTTCCTACCTTCCACCTTGAGGACAAGGTGTCTGTTTTGGGAGGGAGTATTGATAAAGACCCTCCTAAACTAACGGTTTATCATAGGAAGTGCCGTAGGGGATTATTTGGTGCCATTCTATTATATGGGGGAGCTGAGTCAGCAGATGAAGTTGTGCATGCGGTTGGAGGAGAGAGAATGTTATACGACGGAGTGCATGTTTAAAGGAGGAAAAATACACGAAGACTGGATCTTTGGAAATTAGGACTTTGGGCACCTTCTTGGTGAATGGGAGAGACCAGGAGCTCTATAATTCCCCTGGACTATCTTTAATATTCTGTCATTCAATTTCATTGTAATTTTTGTCATGCTGTTTCAATTCAAGTCATTACAGTTTATTGTTCACAGAGATACGATTTATAGGAATTTGTTGTTGAATTAATATAAATGCTGAAGTATTTCTTAATTGATTGCTGTGTGAGATTAGTTGTTTGTTACACATGGTTTTAGGGCTTCAGAACATAATAGGAACAGAAATGATGTGTCTTTACTCTTTACACTTTTTCTTCAGTTGGGTGGGCATGGGTCTGGGTTTTTTCATAATCGGTGGGATCACCTCATCACTTAATCCCACCTGATCCTACCAAATTGCAATCCAGGGTATGAGCAAGATCATGAGGGAGAGTGAAACTCTTAAAATTGTCCTATCTTACAAGCATACTTGTGAATTTTTCAACCATGGTTTTAAGTATTAATGAAGGTATATTTTGAAATAATTGAAATTCTAAAGTGGAAACTTGGTCCATTAATTTGTTTAACTTATTTATTTTGCAATTTAAAGATCCTTGAGGAAGCACTTCTAGATTGCATGTAAACTGGAAAAAGCTCTAAAATCTAATGTTTTTCATTTCATCTGTTTTTTCTAATCATTTGTTTGACTTGGTCTTATCCTGAATTTACAGCTCTTAGGGAGGGGTTCCTTTTGTTTAATGGAAGGTTAGGTGATGGCATGATCCGTTTATTTGTTTATTTGAGCATTTTATGTGGACTAAATCCTAAAGGAATTCTACCTTACTATAAATTGGATGCATGGATTTATTTCATTTATGGTTGTCGTTTCGTGCTCATATTTGAAGGTTGCATTCCCAATTCACTATCTATTTTTCGCTGTGTGCAAATTTTGAAATAGTTAATATTACAAGTTTTTAGCAATTATGCATAATATTTATGGCTGTATTGCATATAAGAATGTGAAACCAATGATATTTTGGTTTCTTGTTGGAATTTTTGTGTGTTTTAAAACTATCTTGTATTTGAGTTTATAATTATTGCTAATTTTAATTTCTGGTTTTGTACTTATATCCAGTATGGTAAGGAATATGAATTTGATGCTCCAGTCAAGCTTCTGGACAAACATCTACATGCTATGGCACAGTCTTGTGATGAGCAGCTTGTTGTTGTTTCTCAGGTTTTTGCATTGATTTTTCCCCAAAATTTTTGCTTATATATTACCATTTTTGTACTACATTGAGATATGTGCTCATACTTGAAATTTACCTTATTGTTAGGTTCTGGTGTCTGACATTAATATTGGATATGAGGACATAGTTAACATTCAGGTAAGATAATGTTATGTAGTTATTTTATTTCTGTATAAATAAAGTGTCTGTTAAACTTTGTTCATTGTATGTATATAGGTTCTTGCTTTCAATGGTAAGCCTGTGAAGAATCTGAAGAACTTGGCCAGCATGGTTGAGAGATGTGATGATGAATATCTAAAGTTTGATCTGGAATACCAACAGGTTTTCTCTCGTTGACATATTAATTGGTTCATTGTCTCGTGTTAACTAGAAATGTCCCCTTAATGTACATAGAAAAAAGAAAAAAGAATATAGAAAAAAGAAATGTCCTCTTTTATTTTAAATAAACAAATAAAAAAGATGGCTAAGCCTCGGTGCATAAAGAGTGTCCCGACTCAAGAGGCTAGGGATAAGGGTTGATTCTACTCGGTCTAACCCTTAAAATATTTTATTTGGAAGAAAATTGTTCATTATGATTACCATTCATATTGTCAGTCCATAAGAGTAACACAATTGTTATAGGTAAGGTATTACTATTATGAATTAATATTTAATATTAAGACAAACCCTATGCATATTGCATAAGTTGTGCATTTTTTATTTATTTTTTATTTTTTTGGCATTGCACAAATGAAAATCTTGTGAAACTAATCAAAGGGGAATATAGATGAAATTATTTCTCTCAAGGTTATGGTTATGATTTCTAGCTAGACGTCCAACAACTTGATAAACGATAACCTATATATGATATATATATATATATATATATATATATATAACGAGTTTACATATATTATTTTAATCTTTATTGAATTGGTTTTATCTATTAGAAGTTGAATCTTTCTCTGCATGTTACAAATTAATTTTATCAATTTAGTGAGGTTCGTTCTATAAATTTGTCTTATATTAGCTTTTATGAATACTGATTTGAAATTTTGAATATCCTTTTCTGCAGATAGTTGTGTTAAAGACCAGCACTGCTAAGGCAGCAGCCTTAGATATCCTCACAACACATTGTATACCTTCTGCAATGTCTGATGACCTAATGACATAGAAAGTTTTAGTGAAAGGTATTATATCAATCATTTTCGATTTTTCCCCCCCTTTTAATACAAAAATTCAAATCTTGTTGAAGAATGGATGGAGAGAGAGAGAGAGAGAGAGGGGGGGGGGGGGGGGGGTTGTTGGAAGTATTATTTCATCTGTAGAATAATGGATCAGCAAAAAATTGATATTCACGAGCTGGTTGATTTGTTATAAAAAAAATGCTTTCATGGAAATGGAGGGGAATATCCTTTTGTTGTTCTCAATGATAGAGTGTTGCTATTGAAAAAAGGTTTGGATTCATTTCTGTGGACCGTAACAGCATTTTTGAGTCTCCTCCGATTATGAAGACAGGGTTCCCGTGTCTCTGTGCGATACACATTGCTGGGGATTGAAAGGAATGTTGTCTAGTGACTATAGGAAGGATACCAGCATGGGTCGAACCAAACCGGTTTTTTTGAAAAACCGAACTAAATTGATTTAAATGGTTCGGTTCGGAAGCGGTTCGGTTGAGTTGGAACCGGTTCGAAAACGGTTCGGGTCGATCCTATTTTGAAAAGACAAAAAATTTAAAATTTAAAAAATAAAGTTATAAAAATCAGTTTGGTTCGGTTTGAAAACGGTTCGGTTCGGTTCAGAAATGGTTCGGTTTGGTTCAAAACGATTCGGTTCTTAAACTGGTTCTAAAAATCGGTTCGGTTCTTAAACTGGTCATAAAAATCGGTTATGTTCATGAACTGGTTCTTTAAAAACCGGTTCGGTTTATGAACTGATTTTTAAAAATCGGTTATTTTAAGGGGCAGTTCGGTTCGGTTCAGTTCATGGTTCGGTTCAATTTTTTGGTTATTTTGCATACCCCTAGATACTATGGGTATGTTGGTCACCCTGTAGAGATTTACTCTAGTAGAGAAATTGGCCGTGCTTTTGCTGAATATAAAAATTGGAATTAAAAATTCGTAATTAAAAATTAATCAACCTAAGGTTAGGGTTCCTAGGCTGTCCTTCATTGGATAAAAATTACTAAATTCGTGATTAATCTCAATTGAATCAGAATTCTTATTCCCAATTGAAAATAATCTGATCATCACATCTGATAATCATTCTTTTTCCATAATCGCAATCGCGAATCTCAGATCGAATATCCACAATCGCACGATATCGATCTGAGTTAGGGTAAAGAAACGAATCTGGTTAGAGAATGATCGCAAATCCTCTAGACAGATCCTTCCCCTTAGGTTGATTAAAGGGGTTTTAGCCTAGCATGACTAGGATAAACATGATTAAAAATTAAAATAAAATAAAAAGAAGAAGAACAAGATGAAGAACGCTTCAGAGAAAATGCTTTGATCCTCAATTTCGAAAATTTCAGAATGAATAAAAAAATGCTGGAGGGAAAATGCAATGTTTTGGTTAGAGAAAATGCTTTGATCCTCAATCTGATAAACATTGTTCTGGTTTGAATAATCTTGAGGGAAGCAATGTTTCAGTTTGAATAATCTGGAAGGAAGCAACGGATAGGGACATGGGTATTCTGGGCAAAAAATTAATAAAATAATTTAATAAAAATCAATTTTTAATGCGCAAGTACGAGCCGTGAGACGAGCCAGCCGGACAGCAATGGTACATAATAAACATGGGTGGCACTCAAGGACTAGCAATGCTTTGGTGCTCTTACAACACTTCACAATTTATATCAAAGCTTACTTTCCAATTTCAACATTTACCTTATCAAATCTTAAATCATTTCAATCACATTAATTCCTTTGCATGCATTTCTTTGACATAAAACATAAATCAATTCCTAGAATAGGCCTATTGCCCTTTCATCATATACATGCTTCAATATTACACGAGGTCTCAATAATACAATTTACAATGCCTCTTTACAAATATTACAATAACTTCCAGAAAGCATAACCAATATACAAAATCATAATCTTCAAAATAAATCATGAGAATGACGACTAAACTTAGACAAAATGTGACATGAACAAAGATGACAAATAATAATCCTAGCTCACATACAATGTTCATGTCCTAAGTCTAGCCTAGGCCCAATGACCACAAAATGCAAAATAATCCTATGTCCAAGCTCATCCTACGGGCTTCTTGCCCGCTGCTCCCACGCCATTGGCACTACCTGAAATAAAGTCCCCAAAGCGGGGTGAGATATACAAATATATCTCAGTAACCCAGAGGTTCCGGAGAATACTCCGCCCAATGGGTCACTTCGATGCATATCAATAATATAATACAACATTTAAAACGGGATAAAGCAAGGGATTTAGTGAAATAGGGAAGCATAGGAAAAAATATGATGAAGCTAGAATGGTCGATGCCAATACCACGCAACATCCAGCCTAATGGCCTCGGCATGAGTTCCTTACTTACCTCTATTGTGTCTTATCTATGGAAATGAATTACTTGACCTAAGAAACACAATTTCTTAATTATGCAAATATTTGGATTAACCTTTTAGTAGGAATCCCATAAACTTATTAGGTAGACAATACACATGGATACCTTAAGAAAGATTCCATATTTTTCTTGAAAAATTGTAATACATAACATACCATTCTTTAAATTTGTCTTCATAAGGAATTAAGGAAAATTAAATTACTATGAAAAATCTTAAACATATAAATTATATGAAATTTATATATACAAAATTTACCATGGTAATTTTATTTTGTTATAATTATATACATATATAAGTTGCAAAATTGTAAGTTTTGCTGAAACAAATTAGAATATATATATATATATATATATATATATATATATATATATATATATATGCGTATATTTTTATAATGTACAAAAATATAAATTGTAGAAATGTAATTTATTGAAATATAAATTGTTGAATTGAATATATATATATATATATATATATATATATATATACTCACAAAAATATAAATTGTTGAAATATAAATTACTGAATTAAAAATTAATAAATATACATAAAATTATAGCGTACGGAAATATTAGTTGCAAAGATATAAAGTGCTAAAATATAAATAAAACACATAAAAGAAACCGAAGTGCAGTGCTCCATTAGCAACAATTAGAGGGAAAAAAAGATTAAATATAACACAAAATAACGAAAATAACTCTGACATTTAGTTTATATTTTCATAAAAGAAAGGAGTTATAATTACAAATTAAATATAACACAAAATAACGAAAATAATACTGACATTTAATTTATATTTTCATAAAAGAAAGGAGTTATAATTACCATAGTGTTTTTTTTTTCCTTGTTTACAAATATTTCTCACTCTTAATTTTTTTTTTCTTTTTTTTCTTTCTCTTCCTTTGCCCAGTGGAGTTTCCTCCAAAATTTTCAAGACCCTTATCTCTTTAATTTTTTCATAATTTTGAAGCAATGGCAAATGATTTCCTTCGTCTCTTGCTATAAGGAAAACTTTGTCATGGGTTTGCCAAACTTAGTAATGTAATAGTTAAATAATATTTTCACAATAATAATAACAATGAGAATTTTCATGTGAGATTTCTTGGAGCTTTGTTTGTTGAAATTTTATAATTGCATTATATTTTTGCGAGCTTTGTTAATAATTTATCAATAATGGTTATGATTGTTAAAGGACAAATAAAGGAAACACAAAATCACTGGCTTCATATGAAATAAATTTAACCATATATTTTAAGGATGTTTTTACTCAATTAAATAAATACTATTGTATGAAATTTGAGGGATTTACATTAAAGTGTAAATCGGCTAGACTGGGCTGAACTTTGACTGAAATAGGCTAGACTTGTGTAAAAAATTATATGTCTGACTTGATCTATTGGCCTATGTAGGTCCAAATTTGGTTTGACCTATATTTGGAAAGAAAACAATTATTGCCATTTTTTTTATGTAAGAAGGATATATCCATAATCCGAAAACTCACACAAATCAAATCTGGATGGATAGAATGTGAAAACCTTTAGACCCCCGCATTCGATGATATAAGAACCCTTGGTATTTTCACAACAACTCTTGCTTGCAAAAGAAACAAACTAACGCCCTAAGCTATGTTGCCACAACCATGTTCGGAACTTGATTGATAAGCCCTGAGTTTATGGATAGCTAACCAATACAAATCTAGTTGAACTAAGAACACAAAAAAGAATCAAATAATGGTAATTCAATTGATAGCAAGGGAGCTGAGTAAGTGAAAAGAAAAGGACCTCAGCTCGATACCCACATGCCATCATTTGAGAGAAGTTTAAATATCTTTATTCCTGATCCACTTTGCACTCCGAATTAGTCTCGTAGCCGGCTGAAAGAGTCGAAATTTGTGATGATATTGTGGGAAGTCAATTCGCCTCAAAGAATTAATTAGGGTTGGATTAAAAAAAAACAAACACGCAAAGAAGGGAATACGTCTCCAAATTTAATCTAATAACATTTTTATCTTCTGACCAAACCATCAAAGGTGTATTTAAACAAATACAATAAAAGAACTAAGTCCAATAAACTACGGTCCAAATCTAATTAATAAAATAAGAGGAAGGATATTCTTACTACCATTGGTAGTAGAAGATTTTGGTAGTAAGAATATCCCTCCTCATAAAATAAATGTACAATTTTGTTCGTTGAAGCAATACCTTGAACTAAAAAAATTTGTGGCCCAAATCTAATTAGCAAGAGAAAGATACAATCTAACTCGTTGATATGAAACCTTCAGCCACGCTATTGATCTAAACGGTGCTTAAGACTTAGGTCAAATATTCCCGCTCCATTTCAGTCCATAAGTCCCGAACTAAATTATTTAGGCCTTCCTTGAACTTTTTGGCCCTACTACAAGTGATTTGATCCGCTCAGAAGTTGCAATAGATCTCTTGGGCCGGATGTCTCATCAAAATATCCATTTTGAAGACTATCAAGCAATGCAATTCAAAATTTATATTAAGAATCAATCATATATTTTTGCATTCATCTCTAAAAATTCTTAAAGATATATTTGAACAATTAAATGATGGTCAGTTGGCGTTAGGAGGAGGTGAGAGTACGTGGTGTTCTGTCTTTTTCAGTATCGTCTTTGGAAGAAGTTTAAAGCCTTAATTCCGAAACCCGTCATGAGTCGGACTAGTCACAAAGCAAACCAATTGGAATATCTCCAAATATATATATATATATATATATATATATATATATTTGACCAGGACTTTTGCACTTAGCTTTACTCTTTGGCTCTTGAATCTTCCATATTCACTTGATGCTCAACTTAGCTTCATTCTTTGTTCACTATGTTGGATTGACTGTTGCTTTTTTCTTCTTCTTCTTCTTCCCTTTTAACATTTTTACATGTTGCTTGTGTTCATCAAGCATGTTTATAATCATCGAAACATCATGAAGGTGTGGTACCATAAAAAAAACTCTATAATCAAGTGCGCATGGTTCCACAATCACCACTTTGATTTCACAACTAGGACAATATCCACCGGATCAAATTGGAACCGAGGTAAAGTCCGATGGGGCCAGATTGCAATTGGAACGAATTTCTCCCCCTTAATACGATGTAGGCATTAGTAAAGAATCATGCAATAGTCAAAGGTATGTCAAACTAGAGATGACCATGAAGAGACTGGTAGCGAGAGAAGCATACGAACAATGCCATGGTTATCAATGATCAACTATCTGAATAAGGCCAAACTAGACCTTGACCCCAGCTAGAATAAAACTCCTGTCCTCAGCTTTTTCTTCCCCCTTAAATCTTATTTGTTTACATGTCATCTTTCTTATGTTGGAACTAATGACTATGCTTTGCTTTTCATATTCTGTTGTGTGTCAACTTACGTTTCATTTCAGTTAGCTTAATTTACTTACTGCACTTTTGTGATCTTCTGATTAAGCATACTTTGTGGCATTACACATATTTTTGGTAGAATCTTTCCAGAAGCTTTTGAATACCTATTGTGGATGGCATTTTACAAGAGACAGAAAAGTTGCTCCTTTGTCTTATAGTCAACTTGCAGATAGGTTGCTCCCTCCTCTGTAGAAAGATTGGTTCAAGTTCCTTGCTTCAGGGTGAAAGGAGACTAGTCTTATATTTAGTGTCCCTCTTGAGGGGTAGCTATGCTGCTGTTGGCATCACAAGTTCAGCTTGTGGGACAACAAAAGCATGCTTTTGATCCTCATAGTAATGTATTCTTTGCTATTTTATGACAACAAACTGGTACTCTCTGATTTTTTATATTGTTAGGAGTTGTGAACAGTTCTGTTCGTCTTTTATACACTTCCATGCATTTTGTTTTCAGCTCTATCCGTTTGATAGCTTTGCAAGAGAGGAACATTCTCTGTAGTTGGTGATTCCTGGCCAGGGACATCTTCATCCGCCTCTTCTGTTGCTTTACCCCACATTACAGTATAAAACCCAATCGATATTATTGTAGCTCCTATTAGACTGCAAAGTACAGAAAGAATTCAGGAAAATGAACAATGCAACAAACTAAATCATTAAATTGCTTAGTTTCTTCTCTGTTACAATAACGTATTAAAAGTGCAAAGATCAGTTAAAAATCACAGATAATAAATAGATTTGACTTAGCTGCTATTAAACAACCATATCACCTAAAAGTTTTAGTGATGGTCACTTTTATCTACACCCGTGTTAAAAAATATCTCAGTTAAATATTTATTAAATGAATGGAGGGTACCGTGAATCGAACTCATGACCACGCATTCATACCATATTAAACTACCATCTCACCTAAAAAATCAAGATGTTAAGCGAAGGTCACTGTAATTATTTATATATTAGACTTATCTGACAACTGCATTGGGAGTTTTGATGTTCGAAGTTATGGAGTGTGGGGAAAGAACGCGCGCACACAGTGATCAGAAGTGTTTTAATCAGGGTGAGCTGTATGAGAATGAAGCAATTTTCTCAAAGATTTCATTTATTATTGTTACACAAATCATATATCCCAGAAGTCTGCGTTATGAATAGCAATTTGTTTGGTTAGATACATTTGTGCATGAACATGTGTTTCGCTTGTTTAAAAGGAAAATTGAGAATTTAGAATTAAATAAAGTAATAAATCATACCTCCCAAGGTTCAGAGTATCACCAAGGAAAATGACTCCCAAGGCAACAGCTATGGCAATTGAGAGTGGCTTGAACATTGCAACATAGACAGGCCCTTTTATACGTAGCACCCATGTGTGAACTGCATTGTTCAAGAATGACCCAAAAATTCCCTAAAAATATGAAATGCATCATCATAAGGTTACTTTAGAATAATTAGAATATACTATAGACTAAAGTTCTGTAGTAGTTTCTGTGTGCTTCTTACAGAGCAAACGATGGAAACCAATGCTGTATCAAGTCCAATTTTCCAAGCACTTGCATTTTTCTCTGTAATTAGACCTACAATTGCAGCCATGATGCTGACACATAAGTTGTAAAAGAAGACCACAGTTAGTTCATCAGGGTACACCTTCATGATTTGCACCTGTAGAATGGATTAAGTTTGGAATCAAAAATTGTTTTGATAATTAATTAATTCAAGCTTTATGTAAAAAAAGAAAAGAAAATTCACTCCCTGTTAAACCCTGACAATTTTTATAATAGTCTTACCTTTAAGTTTTATAAAGAAACTATTTTTGAAATTTGAATTCGTGACCTTACAATAATTTTCTTTAGCACTATTGTAGGCTCGCCCATTTTCTTAATTGAATCTTTCTGTAGCATAAAAAATGTGTACCTGTACAATGTACCATAATGGAACCAGTATATACTCAGCAGTCAGAAGAAGGCCACCAATGGCCCAATTTCCATCCACTGAATTGAGAGTGTTAATTTGTTGAAGTGAAAAGGAAGGTGAATGAGCAATGATGATTGGTGGTCCTTTATAGAGAGTCACTACAAATGCTCCTGATATTGATACTACGGTACCCAAGACCTTGGCTTGACTACTTGCACTTCTTACAACCACCTTTTCCATACTTTAATATGTCAAGAGAAATATTAAATGAGAATACATAACATAATAACACATTGAATCATAAAGATAAAACTTATGAGTAGTTTAAACCCATTTCCACTGCAAAATCATTAACTGTTTGAATAAGGTCATATGTGAGGAAAGGCGAATAGTAAATGGCGTCAATATTAAGTTTTATATTCAACATTGCATTGGGTCAACGATTTTTGGATTCGATTGATTGGGTCCAATTCTAACAACCTTGATGCTACCATATAAGATCTACCTGTTTCTTAAATATTTTGGAGGAAAAGAAATATGCCAGAAGTAATTACTTGATAATTGTTACTAATTCAACAGGTAATTAAAGAACGAATTGTTGAGATATATAGTCTCACATTAGTTGTATGTGCCACTAATGTGGAGTTTATAAGACATTGGACACTCCCATCCTTTGAACTAGCTTTTGGGATGGTGTATCCCAGAGTTCTTTACATAGTATCAGAGCCTCACTGTCCCCCGTTTTAAAAAGTGGAATTAAAATAAAATAAAAAATTCCACGCTTCTAGCCTAAAAGGCTCTTGCGTGAGAGGACGTGTTGAAATATATAGTCCCATATTGATTGGATGGACAACTAATATGGCCTTTATAAGGCCTTGGGCATTCCCACCCCTTGAGCTAGCTTTTGGGGTGGTGTATTCCAGAGTTCTTTACACGAATAAAATTAATTCAAAAGTGAAAAAATTGGGTAAATGTATAAAAGTAATAATTAAAGCAGTGGACTTGTACATGCAAAATTATGCGCAAATAAAAATGTCAAAAATTGATAAGGCTTATTTTTTCTTATATAAATTTTGAGATTTTTTTACTGCAATGACTCTTAAGGGCAGCAGAACTATCCCTACCAAGTTTTAAACTCATTAACTACTCATTAATAAATTTTATTTGCAAAAATCTTAACCGTTGATTAACGGAAATCAACAGTTAAGATATTGGTTGTAAGAGATTGTAAAGGAAAATAGGGTGTAAGTATAACATTCCCCTTATATATAAATATAACTATAAATTGCTTCTTTTTAAAAGTATTAGAATAAATTTTGTATATTTTCCGTTATTCTTGCCGCTGACTCTTCAACACATGCACATGGGTATAACATGAGAGGGTGAGGAACCTGAAAATGATGGCAAGCAAGAAGGTAAAAGCTGGCACCAAGTTGCTGATCGCTGAGGCGAGAGTGGGAGAACTGAAACTGATGCCTGTGTAGCCCATGATCTGAGATGAACACCTGCAATTCATACCAATCAAAGTCATTGACAAAAAAAGAAAAAAAAAACTAAATCACACAGGAATTGCAAAATAAAGTCCCATGTCTTGTGATTCCCTTGGATCAAAATTTATAAAATTAAGTGTGTACCCTATTAGCCCAAGAAGACCAATTTTGCATAGTATGGGGAAAGTGAGAGGAGGAAGCACTCTTGATCTGCAAAGAGACAAAGAAACACAACATGAAAAAAAAAAATTAAAAAAAAAAAGATTCAATTGTAGCTGCCATAGTTAGATGTTTTTATTCTGTCTTTGTTTTTATAATCAAATGATTCTCCACCTTCTTGAGATAAAGGGTGCAGGAAGGAGTACCACAGCAGCAACAGTATAAGCATAAACAACAAAGACATGGTAGCTCATCCCTTTCAAGGTAGCTGCTTTGAACAGAGTATTCAAGGCAACGTTGGTGCATTCCATGGTCACCATAGCCCCAAAAGGAAGCAAATCCTTGTAGCAGTACCTTTTTGCCATCCCCCTGTATTCCCTTTACTTCCCTTCTTCTCACTAGATAAGAGTAAAGTTCAGTGAGGTTAAGGTAACTGATATTGATATCTACGTTGCTAGGGACCAAACAGGGTTTGAGTTAGGAACGTTCATACCATCAAATGCTTAAAATTCGACAATAATTGATTGGCAAGAGAGTGGGGTGTGATAATGATCATTTTGGTCACATCACTTTCAAGATAATGCCAAGTTGTGGGAAATTTTTCATATTGAAAAAGATATAATACGGTTAGTTGGGTAATTATAACAATATAAAGATAGATTAATAATAATAAAAAAGAGGAAAGAAAAAATATTAAAAAAAATAGTTACTATTATAACTATTGATTTATTTTTGTATGATTATAATTGTTTCATATAATCAAATAATTTTTTTTAAATATAAGAGGATTTATTTTTAATTTTTTTTTTTTTTTTTTTGGAGTTACCCAACCCTAATTATCTCTTTGAGACGAGTTGGCTCCCTCCGGTATCCCCACGAGCTTCGACTCTTTGAGCCGGCTATGGGACTAATCCGGAGTGCGGGGGAACAGTGATGGCTAAAGATTCAGCCCCCTCCCCAAGAATGCATTCAGCGGGAATCATATTTATTTTTAATTTCTTGATAATACAGAATACTGAACTCGGTATTTTTTTTTATTAAAAAAGAAAAGATATTATTTTAACTCATATTTTTTTTTATAATTTTTGTAAGTTTAAATATTTTTTTTAGTATAGATATACCTATATTTATTATACCAAAAAAATTTCCATTGAGAAAAATTTCTTTAATATTAGGGAAGTACCGAGTGCCCTCTTGCTAAAAAGGCTGTACCAAGTTGAGATCATTTGGCAATTGGCATCGTTATTGGTGCTTTAGTCACAGGTGACGTACAACACAAGGAGAATGAATGATACAATAATGCCGGCTAAACACATATTAAACTTTACACGCCATCGATTCTGTACTCTCCAATAAAAACAATCGTATATAATTTTTGAGAAATGATATTCTAATTACTAAAAATTTTTATTACCAATTTGCTATCTATATAATTATTATTGGATTATTATTTTCTTTTTTTTCAAAACTTTTTAGTATTCTCTCTTTGATCTAATGATGATTAAATAGGTAGTAAATTAATAGTGAAAATTTTTAATAATGAGAATATTCTCCCTCATAATTTTAGGGGTTTACTATTCTTATACAACAAGAAGATAATTTGTCTTATCTTACCGAGACAAACCATGTGTGACCCTTTTTTATAAAAAAAGAAGAAAAGAAAAAATTTAAAAGGCCCACCATTTTATTAGTACAGGAGAGAGACTTATCTTATGAAATTGGAGAAAATATTTTCTCATAATTATATTATAAACATCTTAAATTAAATAATAAAATCTTTTGTCACTCAATTTATTATTTTTATTATCAAGTTTTTAATTTACAAATAAAAGTAATATAATATATCTTTTATAGAAAAAATGGAAGTGGACTCCTATTTTATATTTAATAAATTTTTATTATCTTATTATAATTAAACTTATTATATTTGATTATGCTATCTGATATATTAAAATTATAATATAAAATATAAATTAATTTATTTTTCTTCGTCTAACAACTTAAACTTTTGGGAGAGTCAAGTGTTTTCCATAATATCAAATCGTTTAAGATTAGATTCTTATTACCCCTATTTTTTAATTATCTTTCATATTAGAAATATAATATAAATATAAAATATAAATTGTTTATCTATCTTCACACTGTATATAAAAAAAATGTATAAGCAATTATTATTTAGAAAAGAAATATAAACATTATTGAAAATAAGAAAATGTGATGTGAAATGAATCTTTAGTGCTATAATCAGGTGGCTATGATTTATTGGTTTTCACTTGATGTGAGATTGGGTTATTGAACGTGTGATGGTCGTTATACAATTTTTTTTCCAACTATTCTTTTTTTTTTTTGGTGGATATTCTTCTCAACTATTCTCATTCAGCCCGTGCAGGTAAATTCATACGATATTTATAAAAGAAATTATTTAAAAATACTCATATTCAATTATTGACTTAAAATAAATATTTTTTAGTCTTATAAAAAAAATATATGTAAGATATTATATTAATATTCTATTTGTAAAAAATATTAAATTACCTATTTAATGATAATTAAAATAAATTTAGATTTATACATAAACGTTATATTTATCTCAAACTAGTTGGAGATGGTAATCGATGAACTCATTTAAAAATTTTGAAATCAAAGTGAGAATTGTGGATACAAGATGTTATATTATAATAAAGAGATAATAACAAAAAGATAAGTGCATTGATTAAGAGTGAAAAACATCAATCATATGTGGAGATTGAATATATATGATAGAGCTACACAAGAGAAGTAATGAAATATTAAAGTGGGAAAAACATGCATGAATTGTAAAGAAAACTAGCAATGAAACAAGAGCAACAAGGAAGAATAAAAGGAACAAAATCAAGATCAAAGACAGTAAAACATGGACAACCTTTAAGAAAAGTTTAATCTCACAAATTATGGTAAGATCAAACAAAGCTTCAAAGTATTGCAAAACCAACAAGTCAATAATCAAGTTCAAGTGAAGATCAAGATCCAACAATCGACGCAAGAAGCTAATTAGTCCTTGTTTTTATAGATTATACTTTTAGGACTTAGATTTAATTGTAAGGGTATATATTGAATTGCATTGCATGAACTCAATATTGCATTATCTCTCAAAATTGCATGACTCTTATACAAATCATCTTGGTATGCTTTTCTAACAAAGGAAAGTAACATACATATGCTAAACATTATAATAATTTTTATAAGAGCCAAGAATGTTCATGAAATGATTCTTTGAATTAAATTGATTTCTATTTGTGAAATTCATGTATAAGAGTCAAGAAGTTTGGAAAATTATTTCAACACATTTTTAATATGTTTTGGACATATTTTAACCTTATAAACATATTGCCAATATATCTTCCTATAATGTTAGGAATCATTTTAAAATGAAAGTAAGTGAAAAAATGTATTTATGACCATCTTTCAATTGTTGTCAAGGGAGGATTCCAATTCCTCATGAAGGATTTGAATCCCTGTGCAAGGATTCAATCCCTCAAAAAAGGATTCAAATCCCTAACAAAAGGAATTTGAATCCTTACTAGCCAATATGCGTATAACAATTATAAATGACTAGTTTTCAATTGAAACAATATATATGCATTCCCAACGACTCTAAAATATTTTGGGCGTCATTTTTACACATCTTAAGCATATTTTGAGAGTATTTTGATCATCAATTACATATCTTTCAATTTTTTTCAAAGATCACACATTTTTAAGCTCATATTGTGAAAAACTATATACCTATAGTTCTTCAAGTTGTATATCCATACTTTGAGAGTGTAAATTTGTATTCTAAACACTTCCAAATTATAATCACGTATTTGAGGGTAGTGAGACTCACAAGTTAAAAAGTATCTAAGAGCCTGTGAAGTTAAAAGGTTACTCAGAAACTTGGTGGTTGTAAGGTTTCCAGCACTCAGAAGCTTGGAAACTGTAGAGGTTTGTCAAGCAACCGTGAAGTTTGACCAATAGAGAAGAAACATTTGAACAACCTACAATCTAGATGTAGGTCATAAGTGGTAATTATCAAACCTATAACACCATATGATTAGTGAAAATCCTAAGTTCTGGGTCAAAATACGTAAAAGGGTAAAACGATAAATCAATAAATATGTAACCCTAAATTGTAAAATAATAGAATTAGGCCTCAAATGATAAAAATAACTCTGGAAATGGATTCAGAACAAAAAATTGAGTGGTTAGGCAAGTTTCTGAAAAATTGATGAATAATGGTTTTATCGGATGAAATATTGCGGAACAGTTGCACCGAAAAATGTGCAAAGTGAGATTAGTGCTCTAGGATTGAATATATGTTGGAAAAGGTACTTAGCACCAAGAAATATGATTATTGGTGAAATTTGATGGATTTTAGGATTTTAGGAAAATGTGCCAACGGTGCACAAATCAGGCTAAAACAGTGATTTCACCGAATTACCGGAAAACTCTGGATTCATCTATTCAAGGTAATTAAAGGACTTTGGTGAATGTTAAAATTTTAATTTAATGGGTAATTCATGAATTAATTGGACATTAGTGGGTTAAGTGGATGATTTGAATTGTGTGAGGTGGCATATGGGACCCACCCCACTTGAGTGACTTACGGCTGATAAACCCTTGGTTTACCATGTTTTTTTAAGTTAAATTATACAAGAATTATATAGTAGATTGCATGGAATTCAGGGATTTACAGTATAAAATCGTAAGATTGGGGATTGAGCTAACGTTTTGATATTTTGTTCATTTTGAAGGTAAACCCACAGTGATTGGTGCTAAAATGTGATAAAGGGATCATAACATAGAGTTGAAGCTCAATCTTAGTCAAAACCAAGACTCAAAGGAGCGCGCTCAAGAGTGAGGAAGGACGCTCAAGCGCGCTAAGACAGTGAAAATAGTCAAATTGATCCATTCAGGGCGCTCAAACGCTCTAGAAAGGCAAAATTCCCCATCGAGGAGCATGCTCAAGCGGTCACTTGGACGCTCGAGCGCTATGAGGCAGTCAATTACAAAAGTTTTGAACATGGAAGCGCGCTCAAGACCCTGTAGTGCGCCTGAGCGCCCAACGCGAGCCTAAACAAGCCCAGTCTACAGAAAACTGGATTAAAAAGATATGATTGCAACTTGATATGGAATCATCGAGATATTCTGTAAAGAATTATAAGATTTGTTTTCAAGGTTATAAAAAGGGAGCTTGGGGTAAGTTGAATGAGATAGACACAACGTAAGATACACAGAGACCAAGAGAAAGAATCCTGTTGCGGAGTATTGGAGCACTAAGGAGTCAAGACAACATCACACAAATGGAGTCTTGGAGAATTATTTTCTTTTCAATTGTTTCTGAATTAAATATGATAGGCTAGATTTTTTATGTAGTTAGGGGTAGATGGAACCCAATTGAATCTTTATGTTTTGAATTAAATTGTCTTTGAATTCTTCTCTTTCTATATTT